CCTGTGGGGGGGGGCGAGGTGGGGGGGAGGGGGGAGAGAGGGGTGAGAAGAGGCCGAAAGAAGAAAGGGGGACACAACCCTTTCGGGAATCGTGTGTCCCCGAGTAGTTAGGCCTGTGTCCTACCCAAAGCATGAAAGAGTTTGGGACATCTGTGCACGGCGGCTGATGGCAAGCGCCGCCTTTGACCACGCAGAGCCGCCGCCTTTGACAACGGAGCCCGCCAATGCAGTCGCTCGTCGTCGAGCTCTCGCGGCGCGTGCGCGAGCCAGCACAAAATATGAGGGCGTGGGCTGGGGCCAGCCGCGCCACGCGCGGCCACGTGCACCTCACAAGCCAACCGCCGCCCTCGCAGCACGGCGGCGAGGTGAGCCCCGCAAACGACGCCGAGGGGGCAAAGCTGGCTCTCGCCGGGTGTGCCTCAGCGGCCGCGGGCGAGCAGGGCATGTGTGCGCCACGCGCCGCCGCTCCAGCCGGATCGTACGAGCCTCCCTCCCGCGGCTCGTTGCAGGAGAGCGGGTCGATCCGATGATGCTCGGTGAAGATGCTCGGTCTGCTCTCGCCAAAAGTTTGTCCGGCTCGACGTCCGGCCCCGGGCGTCGGGCCATGGCGGCGACAGCAGGCGTGCTCCAGCGCCGCCTCGTGCGCGCGCACGCGCAGCGGCGGCGCCTCTGCACCACCCGAGTCGCCGCCCGGCCGAGCGAGGAGCAGAGAGACGGCGAGAGACATGCTGATTTGGCAATCAGACTTTTTTTTTTGAGAGCAGGACGCCGGGTTTGTCTTGTATGTGCGTGTCGGGGTGTGTGCGCGGGGCGGGGAGGGGCAGGGGCGTGCGGGGCGGAGGCCCAACGTCGGGCAGCTTGTCGGGGCCGACGAATTCGAAGGGGGGGAAGGGGAGGGGGGAGTGGGCAGTCGGCGTCGGAGTAGCAGGCTGCAGGGCGTACGGGGTAGCCGTCACTTTCCTGCCTCGCAAGGGCGGGGCTGTCCCGGAAAGTGAGAGACGCCGGGCAGCGTGGCGCATTACTGAACCCTCCCATACGTGCTTGTGCTTCCTCCTTCGGGCTGTTCCATCTCCTCGTCTCTTTCCCACCTCGGCGGGGCGGGGGCTGGGGGGGCGGTGCGGTGTGTGTGGCGTGTGTGTGCGAGTGATGGCTGCTACCAGGGACCTTGGGCTTGTATTATTAACAACGAAGGCGCTCTCAAAAGAAATCGGACGCAAAGCCTGTTGGCTCTTCCCAACATCCCCGAGGGTTTATCTCTTAAGTGGCGGCCAGAAGATCCGCCCTGGGATCTTCGGCGCAGGGCGCCGTCACCGGCCCCATGAGCCCCCTACGAGGCCATTCAGTGCTCATGTGGCACGACCTGAGCAGGCCTAGCAATGCCTCGGGCCGAGCGGCGCCCAGAATTGTTGGTGCTGGCCAGCAACGTGGCCGGCGAGTGCCGTCGTTGCATTGGTGGCGACCACCGCTGAAGCGGTCAGCAGGTGGGAAGGCATCGCTCTCTTTGTGAGGGTATTGTACGTATTCATTGTCTGGTCAATACTTCTGCCTGGGTGGCACCTGTGTGCCCAACATGGCGACCCTTGGCCTCCCTCGTGAGTCCACCTCGCGCTGATCATTCTCGTCGCTAGCTCAAGCCGAAAAAGTGGTCCACCGACACCAGGAGGAGTACAACCATCATGGCCGCAGCCTCAGACTGACCGGGTTAGGTCATCTTACCGGCTTGGTGGCCCAGAAGCGCGACATTTGCTGCCCGCAGAGCGCTAGCAGCCCACTAGCCGGCACGTCTGTGCGTCGTGCGGGGCTGAACTTCAGGCACTCTGCACGCGGCTTGTCGTCTAGAATAGCTCAACCCCGGCCAGTGAGTGATGGATCTGATCATAATCAATCCCTACTGTGCTGGGGGGCTCTCAGATCAGCCGTTCAGAGCTCTGACATTGGTTCCCGGCAGAAGATCCTCCAGAGGATCTTCTGCCGTCAGCCGAAAACCCGTTTTCAAACGAGACACAATGACCCAACAATGACCCCCACGGCCAGCCTGGACATGCAGCCGACCCGGCCTGGCCAGCTGGGCCATCGGGGCGGCCACCAGCGGCCGTAGGACCGTGCTGCGGTGCCGAAAGGGGCTGGAAGATCCGCCCTGGGATCTTCGCCACCTAAGAGATATACGGGGAGGGTGAACTAAACGGAGGGTGACGTAACGTCGTTCGGCGCACAGTCGCAGCCGAGTATTTACACATGCATTTGCAGCATCTCCACACCGCGATCCTCGCTTCGCTCTTTCTGTCGGCAGACAGCTTCTCGTCGCACCCGCCTCTCCTTGGAGTGCAGTCGCACCCCCTCTCAACACACTGCGCCCGCTCATCCGGCCCTGATGCGCACGGCGGCTGCATCGGCGAGTACGGTGAGTGCCTCAACAGGCAGGACCAGGGCCACAACATAACTTGTATCGGCACAGCTGATGATGTACTCGGAGGATCCACCCGCTTGGGTTCGAGCCCCTTCAACTGGTGCCGGAGGCCTTTTACGGACGACTGCCGACCGATACCAGCTGAGGTCGCTCGCGGGGCACTGGTCCCAACTGCCCAGGCCGCGATCGCTTACAGCATGGGCAGTGGGAAAACGACGGGAAATGGGTGCTTGGATGGCCCGGTCCAGACTGTCGAGAGCGACACTGTTGTCCACGCCTATGTGCACGGCAAAGGAAGGGATGGGGCAGAGGGCGGCGCGAGTTATGCCTTCCTCGGCACCTACGATGGCAGTCTGTACCTCTCGTGGGCAGGCACTAACTTTGATAATGAGGAGGATCGGGCGGAAGACTGTCTCAGTCGCTGCTCGTGGTCAAACTGCGGGTGTGGTCTTACATCCGTGGACCTTGGGGGAGCAGACAACTATACCGTGCTGAAGGGCATGTTCGAGCAGTACCACTTCATGATGCACGAGACAAAGCAGACGGACCCGTTGAACGTGAAGCTCGCGGAAATGCTCGCCGAGCCTGGATCGGAAATTACAGTGGTGGGCCATTCGCTGGGCGGTGCCAAAGCGCAGTTTGCCGCAGTCGAGATCGCAAACAGGTTCAAGGCGAGGGTGCGCCTCGTGACCCTGGAGAGCCTCAGCGCCTTTGGCACCACCAGTGCGCGAAGGATCTGGGACGAGCTCATCGTTGGACACGAGCCCGAAATGCCTGACAACCGTTTTGGTGCTGACGCTCCTCCCGCGGGCCAAATTGCCGCCCAGCGGTGGGTCCGCATGGGCGACTACGCGCCGGGCTACCTCGGCAAGCTGTTTGATCATGGAATGGTGGAGCACATCTCGAGGGGGATGCTGATCAGCAAGAGCGCGGTGCCGTCATCGATGAACACTCTTTCTGAGGCCTGCTTTGGCTGCTACGAGTACACACAGAAGTCCCGCACCTACACGCCTTACAACGTAGCCATCTCAACGCTTCACTACCACTCTATCGCAGGGGTGCTGTTGGGACTGAATGGCGGCAGCTGCAACTGGAGGGCTGCTTAGGAAGAAGGGTCGGTGGCCCTGAGTGGCGCGGTGCCGTACACTGATTCCGAGCAGGCTCACGGTGTCTTGATGTCTGTGTGTGTGGGCTGTCGCTAAGCCCCACCCGTTTGCGATTTGAGAGCGCCTGGTGTCCAGCTGCGTGCTGCCAGGCCAAACTGTGCTGCTTCTTGTTCTCCAAGCTGCAGAACCTGTGCGAACCAGTGCCTAGGGATCCTCTAACATCTCTATAAGGGATCCCTACGACGCTCAGCGCCGCGCGCGGAGCGCGCCCCGAAGAAAATTTTCAGGGTTGTGGAGGGGTAGATGCGAGTTCTATTAAGAGTTTTACTCACACGCTAGGAACCTTTCGGCCCACCCACTGGCCCGATCTCAAGTGGCGGCGCTCCGCGCCTACCCAGCGGCGCGCTCCGCGCGTGCTTTCCAGCGGCGGAGCGCGTGCTCTGTGGCAGTACTACTGCATCTTCCGCAGCTCCAGCAGGTATTAGCAGTGTGAGTTCACCGCCAGTTATCTGCGCCTCCGTTCGTCGCTCTCGTGCTTGATCGTCAGGCTGTGCTCTCACGTCCGCCCGGCAGGCGCCCACATCGCGCACGCCGCTCTTTCGAGGGCTCGCCGGGGCTCTGCTCCAAGAGACCTCGAGAGAGCGTGCGTGTGCCTCTACTCCGGGCGGAGGAGGCGGAGGAGGCGGCTGCGAGGAGCGTGGCGCGCGATGCCCAGCGAAGAGAACTCTGCCTCGAAGAACTGGGAGCGGTATGTGGGCATCCTCGTGGGGCAGGGGCGAACCATCTTTGGCGCAGCCGTGCTGCCCATCGCGCCCGACCAACCGACGCTCCGCAAGTGCGCCCACCACGCACATGAGCCCGACACGCCCACGCTCTGTCGGCAACACCGGCTGCGCTGGCAAGGCGGGCTAGGGAGCGCCGTGTGACGCGCGACGGCGCGCCCTCAGGTCTGCGATCCTGGCGCAAAAGGGCATCTCGATGCGCGTGCCCGAGGTGACGGCGCTGGTCGAGGCGGTGATGGCGGGGCGCGTACACCAGGACTATGTCCAGGCGCACAGCCACACTGCCAGACTGCCACACTGTCGCACCGTCCCGCCCACCCACCACTGCCCACCCTGCCCACCCACACTGCCCACCCACACCCGGCGCACAGCCACACTGCACACCTCACGATGCACAGCACGCGCTGGGCACACCCACACTGCCCACACCACCGCCTTGCTTCCGGCCACCAGTACCTCATATCTCCCCATATCTCTCCCCATCTCTCCCCATATCTTGCGTCAGGCTGGCCACCAGTACCTCATATCTCCCCATATCTCTCCCCATCCCTCCCCATATCTTGCTTCAGGCTGCCGGCCACCAGTACCTCATATCTCCCCATATCTCTCCCCATCCCTCCCCATATCTTGCGTCAGGCTGGCCACCAGTACCTCATATCTCCCCATATCTCTCCCCATCCCTCCCCATATCTTGCTTCAGGCTGCCGGCCACCAGTACCTCATCACCACGGTCGACGAGATTCGCCGAGATTCGCCGAGATTCGCCGAGACTCGCCGAGACTCGCCGAGATTCGCCGAGCCCACCGCGGTCAACGAGCTCCTCCTCCTGTGGCCGCTCAATGCACCAGTCAGCTCACGACTCGGGATCCGCGCAATGAATGCATCGTAAACTAGGTCAACGAGTCCTCCTTCTACGGCCGCTGCACCTCCACCGCCACCGCCGCGGGCATGTCTCACACCGTCGAGACGCCCCCCCGTGCCTCGTGCCCCATCGATTGAGTGTCGGCGGGCACCCTTTAGGCATCCTCCTCCTCAAGATGGGTTCTTCTCCTTCTTCTTATTGTCATTAGGCATTATTATCATTATTAGGCATCATCCTGCTCAAGATGGGCCCCTTCCTCGTCCTGGCCGTCTACACGGAGCCGACCTGCGCAACGGAGGCGACACACACACACACACACACACACACACACACACACACACACACACACACACACACACACACACACACACACACACACACACACACACACACACACACACACACACACACACACACACACTGGGCCTTGCACTTTTAATCCCGTGGGGCTCCTGTCGTCCAGACGTGGAGACTCGAGGGTTGCCCCCCCTTGCCCCACCACCATCCTTGTGTGTGTGGAGAAGTGTACCTTACCTTACTTACCTTAGGCCATCCCCTACGTCCACCGCTCCGTCGACGACCTCGCCGCCGCCATGTCGATGCAGCCGCCCGGTGTGTGAGGAGAGCGCGGGCGTGCGTGAGGCGTCTTTGTAGGGCTACGGTAGAGGTAAGTAGTAAGGTACTTTCTGGGTATTTTTTTCTCGCTCCACACACAAAGTGGTGGCTGGTGGCAGGTGGGGTGCACACAAGTGGGGGCGACCCGCCCGACCCTCGCACACACACACACCGCTCACCCACGCGCACCGGGCCTTGCACTTTAAATGCCGTGGGGCTCCTGTCGTTAGACGTGGAGACGCGAGGGTTGCCCCCCCTTGCCCCACCACCTTGTGTGTGTGGAGAAGTTTACCTTTACCTTACCTTACGACCCTCGCATCTCCACGCAGGACCCCCGGACACCCGGAGACGGGCGCGGCAGGTGAGCCCCCCAGCCCCGCCACACCGCACATTGGGCCAGGTGCCAATTTTTCAAAATCTGCAGGCGCGGAGCGCCTGCGAAAATGGTGAAGAAATTTGCAGTCGGGCCTGATTTTCATCAAGATCTTTCAAATTTGCGGTGTGGAGTTGGGGAGTGGGTTAGGTTAGGGTTATTATAGGGTTAGAGGGTTAGGGTTAGGGTTAGGGTTAGGGTTAGGGTCAGGGTTAGTCTTGTTGTGTCTGTATATGCCAGCGTTGCAGGGTTCTGCGCTGGGATCTGGCCCCACAGCGCCGACGACTAAGACTCAGCCCCGCACGCTGACCTACTGTAGGGTTAGGGTTAGGGTTAGGGGGTTAGGGTTAGTCTTCTTGTGTTTGTATGCCAGCGTTGCAGAGTTCTGCGCTGGGATCTGGCCCCAGCGCCGACGAGTAAGACTCAGCACCGCACGCTCACCCCACCAAATGCCGCCTCAGGGCGCCAGGCCGCCAGCCACCTCTTACACGCGGCCGGCGCCCTCTCACGGCAAAAGGGTCGAGCGAGCAGGCAGAGTCGTGATGTCTGCGCACCCGCGTGCCGATGGGCGGCACACGCAATCGAGAGAGGCCCTGTCACGCCGCCAGTAGCGTTCTCCGCACTCCCCAGCCACGCCACCAATTGCCGCCTCAGGGCGCCAGCCACCTCTTACACGCGGCCGGCGCCCTCTGACTCGCGGCAAAAGGGTCGAGCGAGCGGGCAGAGTCGCGATGTCCCTGCGCACCTGGGTGTTCGCCGCCTATATGCTCTATCCTGTGCCAAGACGGACACGTTTTGACAATCAAAATCTCCCTCAAAATTTGCGGCCGCCCCTCGAAATTTGCTGATCAAAATTTGCGGTGGCCCGGATCGAAACCTGTACTTTGGCCAAACCGCACACGCGGCAGTGATTTCGGCTCGGCAGCTTGTCAGCCCTCAGCCGAAGCTGGGGCCGGTCCCGTAGCCGAGAGAGCCCGCGCCGATGAGTTCGACGCGGTCGGGGGGGGGCCTGCGGAGAGGCCAGCGAGGTGGCGATCGCTGTACTTCATGGCGCCCTCAAAGTGGGGCTGGCTGACTCGCCAGAGGTCGATACTCTGGACGACCCATAGGATGCCACGAATGCCTAGGGGCCAGCCACGCCACGCGCGGCCACGCGCATCGCACGAGCCAACCGCCGCGCCCGAAGCACAGCAGCGAGGTCAGCTTCGTAAACAACGCCGAGGGGGCAAAGCTGAATCTCGCCGGGCATGCCACAGCGGCCGCGGGCGAGCGGGGCGTGTGCGCGCCACGCGCCGCCGCTTCGGCCGGATCACACGAGCCCCTCCCCCGCGGATCGTTGCAGGAGAGCGGGTCGGCGTTAAGATGCTCGGTGAGAAGATGCTCTCGGTCCTCGCCAAAAGTTTGTCTGACTCGGCGTCCGGCCCCGGGCGTCGGGCCGTGGCGGCGACAGCAGGCGTGCTCCAGCGCCGCCCCGTGCGCGCGCACGCGCAGCGGCGGCGCCTCCGCACCACCCGAGCCGCCGCCCGGCCGAGCGAGGAGCAGGGAGACGAGCAGGGACATGCTGATTCGGCAATCAGAGAGTCTTTTTTTCTAGGTTGATTGACATGCATGTGTGTGTGTGTGTGTGGCTGGATGACTGAGAACTCGGGCGGGCGTGGGAAGAAAGACTCGGGAGCTCCAGCCATGAGCGTGGCGCTCTTGCGTCTTGGGAAGAGGTTGCGGCAGACTACCATCCTGGGGAAGGTGCCCGTTTTTATTTTATTTATCGATATCCGCGTCGAGCAGTCGAGCAGATCTCTCACTCGCCACGGGGACACGACCCCCACACCCCGTGTCCGTGTCCCCGTCATAGCGGCGAGGCGCGGGACCGTCTGTGGACTGTGGCGAAGTGGGTCGCGTCCTTAGATTTCCTCAACTCAGCCACACCCTCTCACTGCCGGTACCGCTCTACCTCTCTAGCTCGCTCACTCACGGAACGCGCGGCGCGGGCGGCGCGGCGAGCGGGGTGAGTCCGAGCGGCCGCGCGAGCGCGAGCGGCGGCGGCGGTCTCGGTCGCGCGACTGGGATCGGCGGCGGCCCTCGCCGCCGCGCTCCCGGTCGTACTCGAAGCGGCCGCCGTAGAGTTCCGCGTGGCGGTCCGAGTGACGGTCGTCGTAGCGACCGCGGCGCCGGCTCTCGTAGTCTCGCTCGAGGTCGGCCTCGCGCGCGGGACGGCCGTCGTGCCTGCCGCCGCCGCCGTAGCGGTCGGCGGGGCGCTCCGCGTGTCGCTCCTCGTGGCTCTCGCGCCGCCCGCTGTCGTACCGCCCAGCAGTCACCTCGGAGCGGTGCCAGCTCCCCTCTGGCGTCATGGACATGCCCTCGCGCGGGTGGTCGCCGTTCCACGCGGCGGGGTGGCACGCGAGGTCTCGCAGCGCCGCCAGCACCGGGTGGGGAGGCTTGGGCGCCGCTCCTCGCTGCGGCCGTTCGCCCGACGGGTTGACGCGCAACGCCCGGTCTCCGAAGCGTAGGCCGTCGAAGAGCGCGATCGCGTAGAGGGCCGACGCCTCGTCCGCGTAGTCGGCGAACCCGATGCCGCGGTGCCCCTCGCCGGAGAGGTCCTTGGGCAGCCGCGCCTCGCCCACGAGCGGTCCTGCCTGCACGAGGAGCTCTGTCAGCAGCTCGGCCGTTGCCGCCGCCGGGAGGTTGCCGATGAAGACGCCCGTGGTCGGCTCGGCGGCGGGCGCGGGCGCGGGCTCGGCGGCGGGAGCGGGAGGGAGGGAGGGCGCGCCGAGGAATCGCGGGGGCGACATCTCTAAAGATATAAGGGCCTCGCGTCGTCCGCCGCTTATATCCCGTGACCTGCGTAACTCGCGATACCGAGGAGTCTCGAGCTTCAGCTGGCGAACCATCATGCCGCTCTCGGAACCGCAGAAACGCGAGCGCCGCGCCGCGCAGCGCGCTGCCGAGGCTCAGGACGCGGCTCGCGGGCAGCGCAACCGCCCGGCGCCGAGCCGGTGCTAGGCCGCCTCCGCTGCGCCTGCTTCCTTGCGCGCCGCTGGACGTCGGCCGAAAAGACCGGTTCCCTCTGGGACCCGACTGGCGAAGATCGCGCGCGCGTCGTGAGTGGCGGCGCGCGCGCGATCTCCGTTCCCGGCCACGCCGGTCGCAGTGGCATGGGCTCCCAGGCTCAAAAGCGCTCCCGTCAACAGCGAGCGAGCGCCGCCTGCTCCTCCTCCCGCCGCCGCTCCGCTCACCGAGACAAACTCGGTGCCGCCGTTCTCGCCGCCGCCGCCACCGCCGCCGCCTCGCCCCTCGCCTCCGTCACCGCCGCCCTCCATCTCGCGGCGGCGTCCCTCTGATGGCGCGGGCGCCTCGCTCACCGGCGCCTCGCCGCCGCCCCCCCCCTTCTCGCGCCGCTCCGCTCGAGCGTGGCCGCCGCCTCCCCTGTCAATCCCGCCGCCTCCCCTGTCATCCCGCCGCCCGCACCACCGCCGCCACCGCCTCGCGCCTCGCCGCCGCCGCCACCGACCGCCCTCTCCCCTACGCCGCTGAGCGCGCCGCGGTGCAGGGGGCGAGCCCCCGCTGCGCAGCCTCGCCGCAGTGCACTGCGCTCTCCGCGCCCCTGACGATTAGTTGGTGTTGCACAGCATGGAGCTCGGCGAGCGTTTAGCGAGCCCCTCAGCTAGTGTGTGTAAAAAACAAATGTTCCCCCAGTGGTCTTCGCCCGGAGCTGCTTCTTGGCGATGGCGGCGAAAAGAGCCACCTTCCCCCTCCACCGACCACCCCCTCCCCCCCCCCGCCCGCAAGGCGCGCGATACACACAAATCTAAACCCGCTGCCACCCGCACCGCGCACGCACCAGGGTTGTCAGGGCTCTCTTGCTCGTAGCCCGATACCGCGATCATCCGGCCCGCTGGTGCGCTTCTATCGCTCCCTGGCCCTGGATGTCCGCACTCCAAAGACCGTGCACTCTCCAAAAAAGTGCCCCTCTGCTTAGCCCCCGCTCGGCCCCTGCCCCTGTCTTCGTCCGCATACCGAGTTACCGCAATCTGTGTTGGAGTGTCCAGTCCGAACGCAACCTGCTGTTTTATTAATGGCTGTTCTTCACCTTCGATACATACATACAGCGGCCCTTGGCACCTCGGCGCTCCGGTGCTCTGGGGGACGGGAACCTGAGCAGTAAACCGCGCAATGAGGCCGCGCCGGCGCCCGCCCGGCCTCTACGTTGTACAAAGCGCCTGCGCCGGCCGCTCACATGACGGAGCACGGCACGAACTCAACCTCGAGTTTGATGATGCCCTTGCCCGAGACGCAGCAGCGGCACATTCCGACGCCAAAGATGTCTGGCACGTCGTCGTCGTCCTCCCACTCTTCCGCGAGGTGGATGCAGGTGACGGTGCCTACGGCATGGGCACGCCCACGACATGTCATGGGCCGCGTCCCCGACATGTCCGCCACGAAGGTGCGAGGTGCGGCGCCGTGTTTTCGGTTGGGGCCGATGGCGACGCCGAGGCCGGTGAAGAAGGGGTCAAAGGCGACGGGCAGCTTGTCCTCGTCGAGCAGCAGCTCGGCGATCACCTGCTCGCACCGCCCGCCGTGTAACAGGCGCCACTCACAGCCCGAGGCGGAGCCAGCAGCAGCTCGGCGGTCGCCGCAGTCGCGTTGGCGACAACGTCCCGCATCTCGTCCATCTGGTCGGTCCTGCCCCCGCGGCCGAGGCAGTGAAGGTACGGCTTCTCGCCGAGTCTCTCGTCCGGCTCCTCCTCGACATAGCCCAGCCGCGCCACCTTCTTCATCGCCTCGCCTGTCAGCTCCCCCCGAGGCGTGATTTCTTTTCTATTCTTCGGCGTAGTCCTTCCTCATCGCCTCGCCTGTCAGCTCGCCAGAGATGGCAGCAAAGGGCGGCACCGCTTGCCTCGCTCTCAGCCGTGCGGCGGCCGCCGGCGGCAAGCCTACGGTGACAGGAAGGGCTCGCGGAGCTCTCCCCCCACCCCTGCGATGAGCCTCCGCTGCTCTGCGGTGAGCGCGCGCCGGGCGTCGTGTCGGCGTAGCCTTGCGGGTCGGCGCGCGCGGCGTTGTACTGGTAAAAGATCTCGTGGCGCAGCGCCTCAATAAACTCCTCCATCTGCAGCCGCTTCTTGCTCAGGTAGTCTGGCCGTGGAGGCGGCCCACCCGGAGCCGGAACATCGCCACGCCCTTGCAGGCAGCTCTTCAGCCGCTCGCACGTCCGCTTGAGGCCCTGCCAGTCGAGCGAGGGCAGCTCGACGCCAAAGTTCTTGCCGCCGCTACTCGAGGGTCCGGCGGTTCCGCCGAAGGAGATCATCGGAGCGGGCCCAGTTTCAGGTGGACACAGCGGCAAGGCGGTGCACCGCGCCCCGGGGCCAAAGTAGGCGCATCGCAAAAAGAACTTAGACAAAACAACTCTCTCTCACAGCAGACAGGCTCGACACAGGTGCGAACTGGCGCGTGCTAGTACTATCACCGGCACACCACCGGAGCCGCCTAAGCGACTCCGTTAAGAACGGCAATGCACTTAGCTCCGTGCACAATGCCGCTGTCCCCGCACGCTAGCTCGTTCACCGTCTGCCACGCCACGGCGGTGTGGAGAACGACAGACAAGCGCTGCATCTGCAGCCCGTGCCAGTTCTTGGTGGTCCATGTGACCTCATCGAGGTGCTGAGCGTGCGAAAGTTTGTTACTCAGCTGGTCCGCCGCCTGCCGAAGAATTCTGCGGACGCCGTCCCCGAAGCCGCCGAACGTCTCGAAGTCGAGCAAACGCAGGTCGCAATTCTTCTCCCGCGCGAACCGGTATTCGCCCTTCTCGTAGCGGGCCGTCACAGGTGCCCCCGCCTCCGCCTCCCCCTCACTCTCCCCCTCCTCCTCTTCCGCCGCCGCCGCCTCCGCCTCTGCATCCTCCGCCTCCCTCCCCCCCTCCCCCCCCCCTCCCGGCCGCGGCCATGCAGCATGCCCTAACACTAAGTCGAGCAGCGCCCGCTCGGTGTTGCCGAAGGCGACAAAAGCCCCCTTCCAGCCGAGCCGATCGCCACCCTTGCACGCAAGCGAGCTCGTCAGTTTCAAGTCGCCAACGAGGCGCACATGCCCTTTGCCGATGTTCGCCGCCGCCACGTCAGGTTGTTTTGGGTTACTGTAACTGAGGTGTGCAGTCGGCTCCATCTCGATGAGCATGCCCCACGCCGAGCGAAGGGTCTTGACGAGTCGTTTGAGCAGGTATTTGTGTCGTGTCGCGTGCTTCGCACGCGGGTTGACCATTGCGGCATCGCCGAGTTCTTCGTGCGGCTTGCCGTTTGGCGCCTTCTTGCCCGCCTCCACCGCCTGGCAGGCAACATCGAGCGGGAGGCCGAGGCGGCGCTGAACTGTAATGCGCATCGCCCACGTCTCCATCTTCATATCATCCCGCATGGGGATCGCATTCAGGAAGGCGCCAGCCCCCTCCTGGCTGACTGCGACGAACCGAATCGCCTCGCGCCAGCACTTGTGGTTCTTGCACCTGCCAGTCTTGTAGCGGCCGCCCTGCCGGGATGCCTCGCTGACGAAGGCGTCGGCGAGGGCGAGCCAGTTGC